AAAAAAAAAAAAATTATGTACATTGTTTTGCTTCCATGTATGTGTGTGGGGGTCAGATAGCCTAGAACTGGAATCATACAGTTGTGAGCTGTTAAATGGGTGCTGGACTCAGGTCCTTTGGAAGAACAATCACTGCTCTTCACAGCTGAGCTGTCCCTTCAGCCCTAGTCTGTTGTTTTAAGGAGATAGAAACTGGGCATCTTGTCTCACTCATGCAAACTCACTACTTAGAATACTGATGCAGGATTCTATGAGTTCCAGGCTAGTCAGTGGGACATTGCAAATTCAGGCCAATTTAGGCTATACTGTGATATCCTGCATGAAAATAAATGAACAGATATACGGAATGGAAAGAGTCCAGCCTTTTTAAACTGTGGACTCAGAATTCATTTCATTCTGATGCTTTGGCATTGGCGTGTGAAGATTTTTAGTACCGCTAAAAGCAAAAGCCTTGTCATTACCTAACACCAGAAGAACTTTATATTGTTGTTTTTTTTATGCATTTGTGGGTATATATTTATACTGTCTTGGATACCTATCTTGAACCTACATTCACTGGTCCAACAGCAACCCTTGCCACATTGCCTACACACCACTGGAAGCCTTGGCTGTCATTCTGGTTTATATTAGAAGACCCTTAGAGATGCCTCATTCACTTTTCCAGCGCAAAACAAAGTACTGTATTTCTCACAGTTAATGCACCAGCCATTTTGAGACTGAGATTGTTCATACTTTCTTTGCAAATGACCATGTTCCCATAATTGAGGCACCAGGATCTTGATATCAGAAACCTCTAAATATTGCTGGACCTATTATATTAGTAGGATATACCTTAAAACCAGTAGTACACATAGTAATCAAAACAATTCTTGCATGAGTAATGTGGATCCCCCTGAGAATAAACATAGGTCATCAGCTTAGCAGCAACCACCTTTACCCACTGAGACAATTCTCTGGTATTCAGCTGCATTTCTGAGACAGTGTTAAGAACAAGAATTTATTCCTCAGAAAAAAATTAACATAACCCATAAAAATGGATGGCAATGTAAATATAATTTTCATTTTTAAACAGGTTTATTATTCAAATTACTGTGTTCCTCTCTCCTTGGATAACATTTTGTATACAATTTGGAAACAAGACAGTATTTTTATGATGAAATGGTTCTACTAATCTTGCATGAATGACACTGAGATGGCTCAGTGAGAAAAATTGTTTGCTGTGTAAGGCTTTCCTGTATTTATTAGATTTATGATGCTTCTCTCTAGTAGGAATGCTTGCATGCCTTTGAATAAGATCATAACATGTAGAGGCACTATCACATGGACTATATTCATAGGGTTTCTCTCCAGTATATCTTTGATGTGTTTGGAGATTATAGTGGCGTGCCAAAACTTTACTGCATCAATTACATCCATAGGGTTTCTCTCCAGTATGACATTTTTTGTGATTATGAAGACTACTCCAAGATGGAAAAGCTTTACCACATTGAGTACATTCATAGAGTTTCTTTGCAGTCTGACTTTTTTCATGTATTTGAAAATGACTGCAACATGCAAGTGACTTACCACACTGAGTACATTCATTAGGTTTCTCAACAGTATGATGTTTTTCATGATTTCGAAGACTACTACGACTTGCAAAAGCTTTATCACACTGATTACATTCATAAGGTTTCTCACCAGTGTGAGATCGCTCATGTATTCGAAGACTACTGCGACACACAAAGGCTTTACTGCAATGATTACACACATAAGGTTTCTCTCCACTATGACTTCTTTCATGTACTTGAAGAAGACTGCGGCGTGCAAAGGCTTTACCACATTGAGTACAATTATAAGGTTTATCTCCAGTGTGAGTTCTTTCATGTATTTGAAGACTACTGGGAAATAAAAATGCTTTTCCACATTGACTACACTCATGGGGTTTCTCTCCAGCATGAATTCTTTCATGGATATGAAGATAACTGGAACGTGCAAAGGCTTTACCACATTGATTACATTTATAGGGTCTCTCTCCCTTATGAATTCTTTCATGTATATAAAGATTACTGCAATACGCAAAGGCTTTACCACAGTGAGTACATTCATAGGGTTTCTCAAGAGTATGATGTTCTTCATGATTTCGAAGATTACTACGACTTGCGAAGGCTTTACCACACTGATTACATCCATAGGGTTTCTCTCCAGTATGAATTCTTTCATGCCTGTGAAGATCACCATTCTGTGCAAAGGCTTTACCACATTGAGAACATTCATAGGGTTTCTCTCCAGTGTGACTTCTTTCATGTATTTGAAGATGACTGTGGCCTGTAAAGGCTTTACCACACTGATTACATTGATAAGGTTTCTCCCCAGTGTGAGTTCTTTCATGTTTTTGAAGACGACAGCGAGTTGCAAAGGCTTTACCACATTCCTTGCAATCATAGGGTTTCTCTCCCGTGTGAGTTCTTTTGTGTATTTGAAGATTACTGCGACTTGTAAAGGCTTTACCACATTCATTGCAATCATAGGGTTTCTCTCCTGTATGACTTCTTTTGTGTCTTTGAAGATTACTGCGAAGTGCAAATGCTTTACCACATTCATTGCAAACATAAGGTTTCTCTCCCACATGACTTCTTTTGTGTATTTGAAGATGACTGCTACATCCAAAGGCTTTCCCACATTTGTCACAATCATATGGTTTTTCTCCCGTATGAGTTCTTATGTGGATCTGTAGAGAACTGGGACTTGGAAAAGTGTTACCACAGTGATTACATTCATAGGGTTTTTCTCTAATATGACTTTTTTCATGTTTTCGAAGACTACGGAAATTTGCAAAGATTTTATTGCATTGATTACATTCATAGGGTTTTTCTTCACTATGGATTCTTTCATATGTTTGAAGAAAACTGTCCAGTGTAAAGGCACACTGCTTCTTTCCATATCCTTTATGCTCACAAGGCTTGTATCCACAGTGACAGATGTTGTAGCTATTAAAGGAGAAATGACAAACAAATGGCTTTCACACTGCACTCACAGTTAAGTTTTTGTTTCCCTTAAACATGTGCTGTAAAGATTAAGGTTACCCCATGGCAACAACATTCATGCCTCCCACAAACTGTTCCTCTCACTAAACTTTGGAATGTCACTATAAGTACAGGGTTAACAATAGCTTTACTACATGCTTACAAAAGATCTTGGACACACACGGATCCCCTAATCAATGTGTATGCCTTTCATGATAACTGAATGGCATAAAACGAACTGACAAGTTCTTCAACATGGCTCTCTTGCGGCTATGACTAAAATATGTTAGATATTGTTTGCTTGTCTTGCTTCTTAGAGGAATACCTTGCAAACACAGGTCAGCTACCTGAAATTCATGTACACAGTTTTGTGAGAATTTAACAATCATCAATATACATAAAACTGGGCTGTGCTTGTTTACAATGTTGGTTTTCTTTAAAACTGCAGGGCCCATTGAAAAACTCTTCAGTGACACATCTGTACCAGTGTGCATGTAAAATTTACCTTCCATGTCTTCTGGAACTTTGACAGTATTCTTCAATATTCTGGTCTTCCAATTTGTAACCTAAAAGATGGCACCAGAAAACTTATCATCTATTATTGTAAATTATGCAAATTTTAAGTTAGTATCTTTGGTGAACCTGAGAACCATGCTTGATTATTCACTACATTCTTCCTCTTACACAACAGAGATCACAGAAGTGCACCAACGACCAACACACGCTTGTCCCCTTGTTTAGAAAGTGAAGGAAAACTATCATTCTTACCTATTGCAGTGAGGTTCCAGTAGGTCTCCAGCATCACATCTCTGTAGAGACTCTTCTGGGAAGGATCCAGCAAACTCCACTCTTCATGAGTGAAGCTCACATGCACATCCTCATAGGTCACTGTGTCCTAAAGTAGCCAATACGTGTGTGTTACAGAACACCAAATAGATTGAACCAGAAAAGAAAAAAGAAAATCACCTCTGCTACATAATAATTCAATGATTAAATGGGCAGAACAAAGAGAGAATAAGAGAAAAAGGCCAAGTCACATATAAAGGCAAACCTATCATAATTACACCTGAACTCTCATCAGAAACTAAAAGCAGAATGCCTGGACAGATATCTTACCAACACTAAGAGACCACAGATGTCAACTCCAACTACTATACCAAACAAAATTTTTAATCACCACAGAAGGAGAAAACAAGATATTCTATAACAAAAACAAATTTGAACAGTACCTATCCACATATCCAGCCCTACAGAAGATACTAGCAAGAATACTCTAACACAAAGAGGCCAACCATACACAGGAAATAAATAACACCACATCAGGAAAACCAAAAGAATGAAATAACACACATTCTACCACCATCATCAAAATAACAGAAAGTAACAGGAACTGGTCTTTAATATCTTTCAACGTCAATGGTATCAACCATCAACTCGCCAATAAAAAGAGGCAGGTTAACAAAATGGAGATGAAAACAGGATCTATCTTTCTGATGCATAAAAGAAACACACACAGTAATAATGATAGACATTACCTCAGAGCAAAGGGCCGGAAAAAGGTTTTCCAAGCAAACACACCCAAGAAGCAAGCTGGAATAGCTACTATAATATTTAATAAAATAAGACTTTCAACCAAAATTAATCCAAAGTTATGGAGAAGGACACTTCATACTCATCAAAGGGAAAATCCCATAAGATGATATCTTAATTCTGAACATCTGTGTCCCAAATGCAAGGGCACCCTCATTTGTAATAGAAACATTACTAATGCTTAAATCACACATTAAACCCCACACATTAATAGTGGGCAACTTCAACACCCCACTCTCTCCAATAGACAGATCATCAATACAGAAACTAAACAGGGAAATAAAATAACAGACCTCATGAATCAAATGGACCTAACAAATAACTACAGAACATTTCACCCAAATACAAGAGAATATACCTTCTTCTCAGTACCTCATGGAACCTTCTCCAAAACTGACCATACACTCTATCACAAAGCAAGCCTCAGCAGATACACGGAGACTGAAATAACCCCCAGTATCTTATTGAAATAACACCCTGCATCTTATCAGACCACCATGGATCACAGCTGGAACTCAAGAATAACAGAAAGCCTAAAACTAATGGACACCAACAACTTCCTACTCAATGACCACTGGGTCAGGGAAAAAATAAATAAATTAAAGACCTTCTAGAAGTCAGTGAAGATGAAAGCACAACAGAACCAAACTTACGGGACAAAATGAAAGCAGTGCTAAGAGGAAAGTTCATAGCACTAAGTGACCTAGAACAGAAGACAGCAGATACACCAAAAAGATGACAGAAAATAATCAAACTCATGGCTGAAATCAATAAATTGGAACAAAAGAGAAAGATACAAAGAATCAACGATGCCAAGAGCTGTTTCTTTGTGAAAATCAGCAAGATAGTCAAACCATTACCCAAACTAACTAAAAGGCAGAGGGAGAGTATACAAATTAATAAAATCAGGAAAAAAAAAAAGAAAACAGATCAACAGACACTGAGGAAATAGAAAAATTAGGCTTACATCAAAAGCCTATAGTCCACAAAACTGAAAAAAATCTAACAGAAAGGTATGATTTTTGGGATAGATTTCAACTACGAAAGCTAAATCAAGACCAGATAAACAGTTTAAACAGACCTATAAACCCTAAGGAAATAGAAGCAGTCATCAAAAGTCTCCCAACCAGCTGGAAAGATGGCTCTGTGGTTAAGAGCACTGTCTGATCTTCCAAATGGACCTGGGCTCAATTCCCAGCACCCACATGGCAGCTCACTTCCAAGGGATCTGACACCTTCACGCTGATGCACATAAAATAAACTTAAAATAAATTAGTTTAAAAAAAGTCTCCCAACCAAAAACAATTCCCAGGTCCACATGGTTTGGGCACAGAATTCTACCAGACATTTAAAGAAGAGCTAATAACAATACTCCTCAAACCATTCAACAAAACAAAATAAAGGAACATTGCCAAAATCATTCTATGAAGCCACAGTCACCCTGATATCTAAACCACACAAAGACCCAACAAAGACAGTATCAGATCAATTTTACTCATGAATATCAACACTAAAATACTCACAAACTGAATTCAAGAACACATCAAATACATCACCTACCATGATCAAGTTGGCTACATCGCAGGGATGCAAAGATGGTTCAACATTAGAAAATCCATCAACGTAATCCACCATATAAACAAGCTCAAAGTAAAAATATCACATTACATGCAGAAAAAGGCTTTCACAAATTCCAACATCACTTCATGATGAAAGTATTGGAGAGATCAAGCGAAGCAAAAGCCCATATCTAAACATAATAGAGGGTAAGGCAATTTCGAACATCAAATTAAATGAATAGAATTTCAAATCAATTAATTCCACTAAAACCAGGGACAAGACAAGGCTGCTCACTCTCTTCATACCTCTTTAATATAGTACTTCAAGTTCTAGGTAGAGCAGTAAGACAACTAAAGGAGATCAAGTACATACAAATCGGAAAGGAAGAAGTCAAATTATCACTATTTGCAGATGATATGATAGTGTACCTAAGCAACCCCCAAAATTCTACCAGGGAACTCCTACAGCTGATCAATGGCTTCAGCAAAGTGGCTGAATGCAAGATTAAATAAAAAATTCAGTAGTCCTCCTGTATACAAATGGGTTAAGATAGAAATGAGGGAAACTACTGAAATCAGGGACAAGACAAGGCTGCCCACTCTCTCCATACCTCTTCAACATAGTACTTGAAGTCCTAGCCAGAGCAATAAGACAACTAAAGGAGATCAAGGGGATACAAATCGGAAAGGAAGAGGTCAAAGTGTCACTATTTGCAGACGATATGATAGTATATATGAGAGACCCCAAAAATTCAACCAGAGAACTCCTCCAGCTGATAAAAACCTTCAGCAAAGTGGCAGGATACAAAATCAACTCAAAAAAATCAGAAGCCCTCCTGTATACCAAAGACAAAAGGGCCGAGAAAGAAATTAGGGAAACAACACCCTTCACAATAGCCACTAATAACATAAAGTACCTTGGGGGTGACACTAACCAAGCAAGTGAAAGACCTGTTTGAGAAAACTTCAAGTCTCTGCAGAAAGAAATTGAAGAAGATCTCAGAAGATGGAAAGATCTCCCGTGCTCATGGATTGGTAGGATTAACATTGTGAAAATGGCCATCCTGCCAAAAGCAATCTACAGATTCAATGCAATTCCCATCAAAATACCAACTCAATTCTTTACAGACCTTGAAAAAAAGATTCTCAGCTTCATATGGAGAAACAAAAAACCCAGAATCTCCAAAACAATCCTGTACAACAACAGATCATCTGGAGGTATCTCTATCCCCGATCTCAAGTTGTACTACAGAGCAATAGTAATAAAAACTGCATGGTATTGGCATAAAAACAGAAAGGAGGATCAATGGAACTGCATAGAAGACCCAGAAATAAACCCACACACCTATGAATACTCAATTTTTGACAAAGAAGCCAAAACCATTCAATGGAAAAAAGACAGCATCTTCAACAAATGGTGCTGGTCCAACTAGATGTCCACATGCAGAAAAATGAAAATAGATCCATACTTATCACCCTGCACAAAACTAAAGTCCAAGTGTATCAAAGACCTCAACATAAAACCAGATACTCTAAATCTGTTAGAAGAAAAAGTGGGGAACAGCCTAGAACTCATTGGCACAGGAGACAACTTCCTGAACAGAACACCAACAGCACAGGCTCTAAGAGCAACAATCAATAAATGGGACCTCACGAAACTGAAAAGCTTCTGTAAAGCAAAGGACACTGTCATCAAAACAAAACGCCTGCCTACAGATTGGGAAAGAATCTTCACTAACCCTTTATCTGACAGAGGACTAATATCGAGTATATACAAAGAACTAAAGAAGCTGAAAAGCAGCAAACCAAGTAATCCAATTAAAAAATGGGGAACAGAGCTAAACAGAGAATTCTCGACAGAGGAATATCGAATGGCAGAGAAACACTTAAAGAAATGCTCATCCTCATTAGCTATCAGGGAAATACAAATCAAAATGACCCTGAGATATCACCTTACACCCATCAGAATGGCCAAGATGAAAAACTCAAGGGACAACACATGCTGGAGAGGTTGTGGAGAAAGGGGAACCCTCCTCCACTGCTGGTGGGAATGTAAACTGGTACAACCACTCTGGAAATCTATATGGCGCTTTCTAAGACAATTAGGAATAGTGCTTCCTCAAGACCCAGCTATACCACTGCTAGGTATATACCCAAACTTTGCTCAAGTACACAAAAGGGATATTTGCTCAACCATGTTTACAGCAGCTTTATTTGTAATAGCCAGAACCTGGAAACAACCCAGATGTCCATCAACGGAGGAATGGATACAGAAATTGTGGTATTTTTACACAATGGAATACTACTCAGCAATCAAAAAGGAGGAAATCATGAAATTTGCAGGCAAATGGTGGGATCTAGAAAAGATTATCCTGAGTGAAATATCCCAGAAGGAGAAAGACAAACACAGTATATACTCACTTATATAGACCTATAAGATATGATAAACATAATGAAATCTGTACACCTAAAAAAGATAATCAAGAGAGCGGACATGGGGTAAGATGATAAATCCTTGTTTAGAAAGACAGATGGGATGTGCATTGAACATATGACAGGAGTCAACTGAGCACATTTGAAAGACTCTAACTAGCAGTGTTTTCAAAGCAAAGACTCATGACCAAACCTTTGGCAGAGTACAGGGAATCATAAGAAAGAAGGGGAGTTAGTCTGATGGGGAAAGGATAGGAACTCCACAAGGACCTAATATATCTGGGCACAGGGTCTTTTCTGACACTGTCATTCAACCAAGGACCATGTATGGATATAACCTAGAACCTCTGCTCAGATGTAGCCTGTGGTAGCTCAGTAACCAATTGGTTTCCCATAGTGAGGGGAACAAGGGCTATTTCTAACAGGAACTCAATGACTGGCTCTTTGGCCTCCCCACTCCCCAAGGGAGGAGCAGTCCTGTTAGGCCACAGAGGAGAGCTTTGCAGCCAGTCCTGAAGATACCTGATAAAACAGGAGCAGATAAATGGGGAGGAGGTCCCCCCTATCAGTGGACTTGGAAAGGGGCATGGTGGAGATGAGGGAGGGAGGGACTGGGAGGGAATGAGGGATCGGGACACGGCTGGGATAGAGTTAATAAAAGGTAACTGATAAGAAAAAAATAAAATTCAAAAAAAAAAAAAGATTGAAGTCCTATTAGGCTCACAACATTAATTTGGATAAAACATGCTTTGAAACTAGATAAAATTATACATCATCATGAATGTACTATGTTACTGAATCTAAAACAGTTTTATATTGGGTAATTGACATGTGTTTCCTTCTCATTCACAGATTCCATTTTTGTATTTTCACAATGTTACAAAAATTTGTTACCCTAAAATCAATTCTCATGATGTTTCTTAAGTTGTTCATAGACATGCATGGAGTGACAAAACTTTTGAATTGCCTTAACACACATCCCTAGCTATAGAAAAACAAGCTGACTCTCTGTAGCTCCATCCAAGCTTCTACTGGAAGCACATGCCCTTGCCTTGAACTATGTGTCATGCCTTTTGAATTACTGAGCTTTATAGTGATCTCATTTTTTAAAAAATACTTCTCCAACTGGAGGCTTGGCTCAGAAGGTAAAGGTGCTTGCTGCCAAGCAGAACAATCTGAGTTCACCACCACCCCCAAACTCACACAGGGAGAGAGCCCACTCAGGAAAGTTGTTCTCTAGCTCCACCTGAGCACCATGGCACATGAACACAGAAGTGCACATACACAGGGAGAGACAGACAGACAGACAAGTGCAGAACTTCCAGAAGACACTGGAGAAACTAGGGTCTGCGAGTCAGCACACCCTAGTTTCCTGACTTCCCTGACAAGGAAAGCCGCGCGTGCGCGCGCCCTGCAGGATGACGTGAACAGTGTGTAAGCGTCCACTCCTTCTTCCCATGCTGTGCGCAGGCGCAGCTAGGTGAGCTCAGTCACTCAGAGGTCCCGCTTCCGCCTGGGAGGTGCCGGGACCTCAGGGAACAAGCGGAATCACACCGGGCGCCTCCCGTCCCCGCCCCCGGGGCGAACCCACTCGGGCTCCCGCGGCTCCTCCCCGCGTGGGGACGGCGGCCCCGCTCACCATGGCGCGGACTCCGAGCTCGCCCCGCTCGCCTCGGCTCCCGGCAGCGGCTCGCCGCGCGGCTCTCGGGACCAGGAGCCTCCCTCAGACAAAGCCGGGCCGGCAGCATGGCGGACCGGAAGTGTCCTCCCCATTCCGCGCGGATGTTCGCCTCGGGGCCCTGATTGGCTAGCGCGGACTGAGCGACAGGAGCGGAGTGCTTGTGCCCCTAGGGAGAGTGCTGAGAAGTGTCGCCGCACAGTGGTTCCCAGCCCCGACCTCCGCTCCAGGTCCCCTCCCTGACAGATGCACAACTGTCCGGACCTGCGGGGTTGGGCATTGCGGTGCAAGTTGCGCCCGTACTGCAATGTCGTCCCTGCACTTTTCCTGCCCTCAGCTGGCACTGTCCCTTCGTGCAGGCACTAGGTGTCCCGTATACGCAGACCGTTCCTCACAGCTGTAAAGACGCCCAGCCCATGCGCATCAAGTGAAACCACCGGATCGATAGTCACCAGGCATCAGTAAGGCACACCTAGGATTGTCCACATCTCTCTCCGCTGCACATCGTTAGCGAAACAGTAACTCTTTCCCAGGTTCTGGGGTAGCACGGGTCTATCACGCCACCGTTTGGGGGGTGAAGGAAGGACATCAGACGTTTATGCCAGCTTGGTCGGAGACGGGACTCACCAGCAATTAGGGTCCCCAGATTCCAGGGTGAGAACCTGGGATGTGAAGATAAAGACAAAACTTTGATATATATATATATCCTAGCGGTGGTGATATACGACTTTCATCCCAGCACCCGGGAGGCAGAGGCAGGTGGATCTCTGAGTTTGAGGCCAGCCTGGTCTACAGGGCGAGTTCCAGAACAGCCATGGCTACCAGAGAAACCCTGTTTCAGAAAAACAAAACCACCTCATCCCCTCCCTGAGGGTTCTACGTAGGGTATCCCCCCCACCCCCCGAAGCAAACTTTAAATACTGTACGGCACTCATTTTTATTGACATAATTGTGTTATGGATGCAGAAGAACAAACTGTGTTGAGTCTCTCTTCCCTAGCATGCCCTCACCCAGCGTCCCACACTGCTTCTCTCTCTTTTTCCCTTCACTTCCCTTCCCTTCCCTCCCTTCCCTGCCCTTCCCTTCTCTCTCTCTCTCATTGAGCTTCTACACCTGGGTACTCAGTTGTGATGTAGTGGTATATCTAGCTTCAGAACATATCAGATGGGGAGTGACAGGAATCAGAGGGCCAGAGTGCAGGGCGCTGTGGGGTGAGGGGTGAGCTGGGCACCATTGCTGAGGCCCAGGCTGGTCTCCCACTGCATGCTGAGTCCTGTTGTTCTTTAGGTGTGTGAGAAGGTGGTGATGTCTGTGGCTTCAGCGTGCCGAGGTGAAGGATGGAGACTGAACATCTGAGCTGAGTCCTCAGCGGCCCTGTGCCTGCAGCCACTGCATCTGCAGGATCTGGCTGAGAATGCACTGTACGTCCTCGTCCATCTGTCCCTGGGGAGGTGGGAGGGGACAGAGGCAGAGACACACCTTGGTGCACCTGCTGGGTGCTCCCCTGCCCCTTGCAAGTCTCTCCACTCAAACCCAAGCGAGTCAGTGCTCCATATGGAAGGTCCCTGCTGCACAGGTATGTTCCCAGAAGCCACAAGGCTGGCTCTGAACAGGAGAAACTGAGCCCCAGGAGGTGCCAGAATAATGGTAAAGCCAGGTGGGCACCCTTAGGTGGAGTCAGGAGGCAGGAGACTCACCTGAATGGCATACAGGAGATGACTGCGGTATAAAGCCACCACAGTGCCATGCTCCTGGGCCTCCTCCTGTGGACCCAGGGGAGGGGTCAGAGAGTCAAGGTCATCCATCTATATAGTGATTTTGAGGTCAGCCTGTGTTACATGAGACCCTGCCTCAGATGAAAGGTGGACAGGGAGGAAAGGAACAAGAAGGAAAGGGAAGGGAAGGGAAGAAGGCAGTTTGGGAGGAAAGGGGAGAGAACTGGAGGCCCAGCAGTTGAGACACACCCACACACTCTGCCTGAGTCAAAACCCCAGTTCAGTAGCTGCTGATGGCTGACTCAGGGAGGTGTCTGTGGTACCCTGCCCAGCCTGCATCCTGCCAGCCATGCCCACTGTTGGGATCAGTAAGCAGGCATCTCTACGGCCACCCCCAAGGGACCTGACAAACCGGTTATCAGGCATTTGTGAAGCCACCAAGAAGATCACCCGCTGATCACCTGGGACCACCTGGGCATGCCCTGGGTCACCTTATAAGAGAACTCCTGGAGCCCTGCCTCTCTCTCTCTCTTCTGCCTAATCTCTCTGCGACCCCCTTTCCCTTCCCCTAATAAACCTCCCACATGGAACTGGTCTTGTGGTGTGATTTGTGAACCCGTCATGTAACCTTCACAGCTGCACGTTTCCTAACACCCACCAGTAAGCTGACTGTTCTGTCTATGGCTCCCACCACCGCTCTCCTGCTAAACAGAGTCAGTACCTCCATGCTGTGCTGCATGGCTATCACCTGGCCTCAAAGGGCCTTCTCCTCCTCCTCCTTGGAGCTGGCTGTGGGTGACTGCTGTGCCTTCAGAGCCTCCTTCAGCATAAAGAATTTTTTGGACATATCTGTGATCTGGTAAGGGGATCGGACTCCATGAGTGGCCATCCAGAGCCAGGCAGTGTAGTCACCTGCGACCACCAATAGTAACTGCCTGCACAAGGGTCTGGGAATTAAAAGAGACAGAGAACACGAAGAAGTGACACCAAGACAGTGCTCTGATCAAGGCACCATCTTTGTTACAGAGTAAATCACTTATATAGGTTTCCAAGTAAACATATCCAAGCAAAACAGGAGGTGTCTGCTGAAAACAACAAGAATAACGAGCTAGCATGACTTGCATGCACGTAACCATCTCAGGTCCAATGGAATGGTTACCTCAAAGCAGAAACCAGGGACCTCTGTACCTTTTCTTGGCAGCTTGAAACAGGGTCACTGGTTTTTGGGCCAGAACCTGAGCTGACTCAGAACAGCCCAGGGCTAAAAAACCTTCCTTACATTTTTCAATGTTTGGAGAGAGAGAGAGAGAGAGAGAGAGAGAGAGAGAGAGAGAGAAACAATCCAATGGAATATGTAGAGAAATTTTAATTCAGAACATGGCTGCTCTGGCAAAAGGTGTGTGTGTGTGTGTGTGTGTGTGTGAGATCTGGCTGTAATATGGACATGCCTTTCATCATAGGAGACAGAGGCATGCAGATCTCTGAATTCTAGTCAGTTTTGTTCAGTCAGTTCAGTTGAACAGTGAGTTGAGAGGCAATGCAGTGGAGTTGAGTTTGTGGCAGGTCAGTTTGTGGAAATCAGAGGCAGTTTTATCAGGAGAATTTTATAGAGACAGGTTGAGGAGATAACAAACTAGACACAGGTGAAGACAGAGGGAGCCAGATGATAAGGAAGAGACAGAAGATTAGAATGGGTTACTAGAGTTAGTGTGAGGCCAAGCAGAGCAATTCAGTCAGAGAGAGAAGCCAGACTGAATCATTCAGCTTGGAGAAGAGTTTGAGATAGAACAGCTGAGTTAAACCAGGCAGCCAGAGTTCAGAGAGAACAAGAAAGGGTTAAAGTAGCAGAACTAACTCTATATTGTTTTTCAGACTTCATCCAAAGTTAGCTTGTCCCTGGAGTACCTTGGTTCCCACCCTTAAGATCTGAGAAAAACAAAACAAAACAAAACAAAAACAAAAACCAGAATGTTCTCAGTAGCTTGCAGTGAGACATAGCAACTGAAGCAGACTAATGAAGACAGGATTGCTTAAGAAAACATAAGTTGTTCCTAGGGTAGCAGTGCTCCTCTTGGCAAGCACTCTCCTCTCTGTGGTTTGGCCAGGTGCTGTTAACCAACTAGGTCAAAGTGCATTTTATTCCTTTACCCTTTGTCTATGTAACCCTAAGGCTTGGAAGCCCCTGCTTGCAGTTTTTCCCTTTAAAAACTGTTCCCTTGTCGCTCTCCTAACCTGTTGTGTCAGAAAGGATTGCAACCCAAGCTCGAGCTTGAATAAAGATTGTAGTGTGTTTTTCATTGGACTTGTGTTCCTTGTTGTCTCTTAGGGGTCTAGTGACCTAGGCATAACATTTGGAGCCTCATCTGGAATCCCCCAGACCTCCAGGACTCCAACCCGGAGGATCTTGGGCTGGCCGGTAAGTGCATGAGTGTCTCTGTGCAGTGTCTGTGTTTGTGTTTACTCTATGTTCTGAAAATTCTCAAGGTGTCTGTACAAGTGGCAAGATGTGGCTAAGAGCAGATTCACTGGACAGTCACAGCTGTGGGGGACAAGGGAGATGTCCCTGTCCCTGGGGTGGACAAGCAATCCCACCCATCAGTTTTGGTGGACATGGAATCCCACCTGGTGGACAAGTAATCTTACTGTTGGTTACTTTCCTCTCTGGGTTGTTTTCAAATTCAGTAGGAGGAATTTGAGAGTCTTTTGGATTCATTTCTGTTTTCAGTTGCGGAGCAGCTACCTTACTCGTGTTTGCCTTTCTGTTTTGTTCCTTGTGTTTATGTGTCTTTGTTTGTATTGGACTGTGAGGACGCTATGGGACAGACTGCTGCTAACTCCCTGGACTTAGCTCTTGCCCATTTCTGGGAGGCCCTGGTCTGGCAGGTCTCTGCCAATGCTCTGGTCTCTACCACTGCTCGGTCTCTGGTGGTGGAGGTCTTCCTGGAGAAGGGTTGCTTGGAAATGCAGCACACCTAGGAAGAGGTTTCTGGGTAAGCTGGCAGCTCTTAAAGGGGCAACAGCAGCTTCTCAGGTAAGAAAGCTACAAGCCTCTATGATCATAAGAATTGGATTCAACAGGTAGCAAGATGCTCCTCTCTTGAAATTACAGCTAAAGAAGTACAAATAAATTTTGGAGTTTGTCTGTTCTGAATATATAAGTTTCCTATGTCTTGATTACTGATTATTGTTTATTGAGTATGTTTTTACACAATTTCTGTTCTGTCTTTAAAACCAGGTTTATAAAAAAATAAGGTTTGAAACTCTGTTTATATGAGATATTAAAGCTGCACCTCCATGTGTT